AATGATGAAGCGTGATGGCAGTCAGACAGATGGTGAGTAATGAACTGATTAAGCAGCACCTGACTGTCCTCAGCAATCGTCTTAAACAGGGTATCATGTTGGCCAAGTAAAATGCCCTGATTGGCTATGGCAGTCCAAATTTGAGTGCACTCTGGGGTGGTATCCGAGCTACTGTCTGCTGGGTTCATGTTGGTCAGATCATACTGTTATGATTTAACTGGATAAGAACCCAAATGCAGACAAGTACACTAAGCCAGAGAAGTTTTAACAGGTTTATTTACAATGTACAAAATCCAGGTTTCCAAATATAGGGGAAGAGCAAGTCCAGGTTACAGGGAGGGTAACAGATCCAGATCAGGACAGGTGTGGTACCGTAATGTACTAGTGTCCGTGGTGAGTCCAAAAGAGAGGTCCGGTAGTGGAGAGCAGGATGGTGGTGGCAGGAGTGAAGCGGAGGCAGGAGTCAGGTTCCAAATATCTGTGGCACAGGAGAAAAAGTAAATAGAACAGGCCAAAAACACAAAGAGCAAAAATAACTAGGTTGAGTCGGCAGCGAGACTAACATGGTCGTCTTGACTATGATCTGACGATGAGTGGTAAGTTTGACCGGGTCTTAAAGGCTGAGGTGATTGTGGTGAATGAGCTGCAGCTGGAACCCTGACTCCCGCACACCAGACTTCACTCCTGCAATCAAGGACAGACAGAGGGGAGGGAGAGAGCAGAAGAGAGCTACCTAGCAGCAGAGGCCTAACAAAACGGGTCTAGGTGGGATTTGTATTTGTGGTCCTGGCAACTGGACCTTTTTTGGAACACCATTATTTTTGTCTTACTGAGATTTACTGTCAGGGCCCAGGTCTGACAGAATCTGTGCAGAAGATCTAGGTGCTGCTGTAGGCCCTCCTTGGTTGGTGACAGAAGCACCAGATCATCAGCAAACAGTAGACATTTGACTTCAGATTCGAGTTGGGTGAAGAGGGTGGGGCTTAAACTGCATCCCTGTCTCACCCCACGGCCCTGTGGAAAGAAATGTGTGTGTTTTTTGCCAATTTTATCCGCACACTTGTGTTTGTGTACATGGATTTTATAATGTCGTATGTTTTTCCCCCAACCCCACTTTCCATCAATTTGTATAGCAGACCCTCATGCCAAATTGAGTCAAAAGCTTTTTTGAAATCAACAAAGCATGAGAAGACTTTGCCTTTGTTTTGTTTTGTTGTTTGTCAATTGGTTGTGAAGGGTGAAATAACGGGTCCTGTCCCTACGGTAATTTGGTAAATAAAAGCCAATTTGGACCATTTGCCTCAGTTACATTGTTTTCACTGAGGAAATGAACTGAATCTGCTGTTGATGATAATGCAGGGTTGCTGTTGACGAGATACAATGTAGGGGAGGGGGGGCAAAGGGAGAGAGAGAGAGAACAAGAGAAGAGAGAACGAGAGAGAGAAAGAGAGAGCTCTCTCTCTCCTCATCTCTCTCTCTCTCTCTCTCTCTCTCTCTCTCTCTCTCTCTCTCTCTCTCTCTCTCTCTCTCTCTCTCTCTCTCTCTCTCTCTCTCAATCTCTCTCTCTCATTCTCTCTCAATCTCCCTAACAGACAAAGACAAAGCCCCAGGACTCAGTATAGAGGACTCCTTGGGTGGAGGCCCAGGCGGCCGGCCATTCCCAGTCGGCCTCCATTCATGGTGCCCCATCTGTGGGAGAGCACGCTGCCCCTGCCAGTGACGGTGGCCTCTTCCAGCTGCAGTACATGGACCTGGAGGAGTTTCTGACTGAGAACGGCATGGCCATGCACAGCAAAGGTGGCAACGGCTCCAGCGCCAGCGCCCAGGTGCCCTCGCAGAGCTCCCTGCAGTCGGCCGTGCCCAACCAGAGCTCCCAGTGCCCGCCGTCCTCCCCTCCGCCATGTTCTTCTTCATCATCCTCCATGTCCTCCTCATCTTCCTCCTCCTCGCTGCTGGGCCTGGACAATGTGCCGCCACCACCAAACGGACTGCCAGGCATGATGGGAGGGCCCGAATGCCTACATGGTTAGTAGGGTGTGTGGTAAAGGAGGGGAGGGTGTGGGTGGGTGTAGGTATGTATGTGTGTGTGTTTGATTGTGTCCATGCGAGTGTTTGTTTCTTTTTGACCATATGTTTGCGTGTTTTGCGTTGGTATGTGTCTGTGCAAATCTTGTGTGCGGAAGATCGACAATGTTACAAGATGACTGGAACCGTCATTGCAGTAGTTGCACCATCCTCAACATGCCCTAGGTCGGCATTGGTTTTGTCCCCAGGCAGTTTGTGGAGCTCAAAGGCAAAAACAAGTATGTAGGAGAGCCAATGGAACGGCTTTGTGCTTTATTCCAAAGTACAAATGCATCATTGTGCATTGATGCATCCGAAAATCCCCAAATCTCCTAACGTCTAGTGTGAAATTGGTGGCATGATGCTTGCGGAAGATGAGCATGGGACAGGGGACAAAAAAAATAGCAGATGCTATATAAAAAGGGTAAAAAGACAGGGTATAGTCTCAAACAACTAGTCCAATAGACTTTTCACTGCCCTTTATTTTGACACTTGTGGCTTTATGGTTATTAACCTCTTAAACTCTGACGCCCTCTGGTGCCATTTTCTAAACCACGCATAATATTGTATACTACCTTCATAAAGTACATTTCGTTTTCAAAACTACAAAACTACAAACACATGCTTTACAATAACCATCAGGGTGTACCCTTTCCATGCATACTAAATGTTTGCACTTTTGGTGACTTGACCAACATTGCATACTCCATGGGGTGCAGGGGGAGATTCTTATGACATTGTCAGCAGTAAGATTTGAGTTCGATTTCCAAAAAGACAAGGACTGTAGCCTTCAAATGATATGTCACTTTTTATTTTCTGACAAAACATTCTTGCCAGATCTGGTACCGGGTCCAAAACAACCACTCAGAGTTTACAAATACTTCATACCATTTTGCAGATCTGATAAATCATTGCAACAATCAGAGTGACACCTTAGCTTAGAGAAATAAACAAATTCAGGAATCAATCATAGAAATGGTGAGGTTAACTTAAGATCTCCCCTCCCCTCTTTTACCACCACAATTATTCATTTTAATGAAATGTGGAGAGGAAAGGGTTAAGGAAGACTCTGCAGTACAGTAAAAACTGCACAGAGAGAGAGAGAGAGACGGAAACCTGTCACTCTATCTCTCCCTCCCTCTTGCTCCCTCTCTCCCCTCCCTCTCTCACACGCTTGGGCCATGTGCAGGCGTCATGTCACGTGCCAATGCAGAGAGCAATGGAGCGAGAGAGAGACGGGAAGGGAGGGGCGGAGGAAGAGGGAGGGGTTGGAGGGAGAGAGGCATAGAGGGGAAGTAAAGGAGAGGAGAGAGAGAGAGAGAGAGAGAGAGAGAGAGGGAGAGAGGAGAGAGAGAGGAGGAGAGAGAGAGAGAGAGAGAGAGGAGAGGAGGAGAGAGAGGGAGAGAGAGAGAGAGAGAGAGAGAGAGAGAGAGAGAGAGAGAGAGAGAGCATAACATTGCATAAGACTAGCCTAGCATAAAGAAGCAGAGAGATTTACATTGCAGAGATAACACCACCATGTTGCCATACCAGTGTCTTTACACACTGAACAACATTGTGACATAACATTTCAGAATGACATGTTGTTGACAAAGACTGAGGGAAAGACTGCTGTGAAATGAAAGGTGAGGTGTATTGTTTGTGTGTGTGTGTCACAATCACTGGCCACTTTAATAATGTTTACATATCTTGCACTACTCATCTCATATGTATATACTGCATTCTATTCTATAATATTCTTCTGTATCTTAGTCCATGCCGCTCTGTCATTGCTTGTCCATATATGTATATATTCTTAAATCCCATTCCTTACTTTTTTGTGTGTATTGGGTATATGTTGTGAAATTGTGAGATATTACTGCACTGTCGGAGCTAGAAGCACAAGCATTTCGCTACACTCGCTATAACATCTGCTAAACACGTGTATGTGACAAATACAATTTGATTTGATTTGATTGTTATCTTGTGGTGGCTAAGGATAGCTGAAGTTTGTAGTGGCTGTTTAAAGAAAACTGAACCATGGATTACATAGATTACTTTCAGGGTGAGGAACCATCTAACATCAAGTTGTAAAATAGGGAACTACTACTTTAAAGATAATGCATATTCTACTGACTGAGGGTAATATAGTATGACATTGACCAAAGGTAAAAGAGGGGAGAGAGCAATGGCCATAAGAAAGCTTAGAGCTGCATGTAAAAGGTTGTTTACACAGCAGCATTGTTCTTGGATCAGTTTCAACTGTTTGCCCAAAATGGTTGTTATTAGGATTGGGCTTTGGTGCCGGTTTATCCTGGATCAGCCAGCTAGCTGCCAGCTCAACCCCATGATGACTGACTGATGTAGTCTCTGCCTCCACCTGGTGGCCGACCAGTATCACTGCAGCCACCATGCAGCAGACTGCTTATAAACATGTAATGTGTGATGATGCCACTATAAACACAGAAATAACGAATCCGCTTTACCTTATTCTCGGCATGCTGGAGGCTTTGAGCCTTCACCGTGGCCACGGTGTGAAGCATGTGACCAACCACAAGTTTGTTTTTGTTGGCCTCTCTCCATATAGGTGGCCAGGTCATGCCTCCTGACCTCTCGCCCTCCTCCACCACCTCCTCCTCCTGTCTCCCCGGGCCGCCAGGAGGCCCACTGGTCACCAACGGCACCGCTGACGTCATGGTGAACTTTGACCCGGACCCGGCGGACGTGGCGCTGTCCAGCGTGCCGGGCCAGGAGGTCTTCGACCCCCGGAGGCACCGCTTCTCGGACGAGGAGCTCAAGCCACAGCCCATGATTAAGAAGGCCCGCAAGATGCTGGTGCCAGATGAGCAGAAGGTACTACATTTCTTGCGATTCTTGGCTTTAAATGTAGAAGAAGCTTAAAGGTAAAGTTAGCAAAATGATGTCATCATACGAAGCGGGGCAACTTCCTTCTTACTCAAGTGAATGACAATGGGGACATGCCTCAAGGGAGGGCACACATTGGGAAGGGGCAAAAGTGGCAAGTTTGAACTGGTATGTAGATGTGCATGCAATAACATGGTAAGAATGAGGTAGGAAACTTTCATATCGCTTTCTGTAGAGTAGCTAATTGTGACGGCATTGTTAGTAAGGCACAAACTTGTATAAAAACTTTATATGCAGTGGGGAGAACAAGTATTTGATACACTGCCGATTTTGCAGGTTTTCCTACTTACAAAGCATGTAGAGGTCTGTAATTTTTATCATAGGTACACTTCAACTGTGAGAGACGGAATCTAAAACAAAAATCCAGAAAATCACATTGTATGATTTTTAAGTAATTCATTTGCATTTTATTGCATGACATAAGTATTTGATACATCAGAAAAGCAGAACTTAATATTTGGTACAGAAACCTTTGTTTGCAATTACAGAGATCATACGTTTCCTGTAGGTCTTGACCAGGTTTGCACACACTGCAGCAGGGATTTTGGCCCACTCCTCCATACAGACCTTCTCCAGATCCTTCAGGTTTCGGGGCTGTCGCTGGGCAATACGGACTTTCAGCTCCCTCCAAATATTTTCTATTGGGTTCAGGTCTGGAGACTAGCTAGGCCACTCCAGGACCTTGAGATGCTTCTTACGGAGCCACTCCTTAGTTGCCCTGGCTGTGTGTTTCGGGTCGTTGTCATGCTGGAAGACCCAGCCACGACCCATCTTCAATGCTCTTACTGAGGGAAGGAGGTTGTTGGCCAAGATCTCGCGATACATGGCCCCATCCATCCTCCCCTCAATACGGTGCAGTCGTCCTGTCCCCTTTGCAGAAAAGCATCCCCAAAGAATGATGTTTCCACCTCCATGCTTCACGGTTGGGATGGTGTTCTTGGGGTTGTACTCATCCTTCTTCTTCCTCCAAGTTTAGACCAAAAAGTTTAGACCAAAAAGTTTAGACCAAAAAGCTCTATTTTTGTCTCATCAGACCACATGACCTTCTCCCATTCCTCCTCTGGATCATCCAGATGGTCATTTGCAAATTTCAGACGGGCCTGGACATGCGCTGGCTTGAGCAGGGGGACCTTGCGTGCGCTGCAGGATTTTAATCCATGACGGCGTAGTGTGTTACTAATGGTTTTCTTTGAGACTGTGGTCCCAGCTCTCTTCAGGTCATTGACCAGGTCCTGCCTTGTAGTTCTGGGCTGATCCCTCACCTTCCTCATGATCATTGATGCCCCACGAGGTGAGATCTTGCATGGAGCCCCAGACCGAGGGTGATTGACCGTCATCTTGAACTTCTTCCATTTTCTAATAATTGCGCCAACAGTTGTTGCCTTCTCACCAAGCTGCTTGCCTATTGTCCTGTAGCCCATCCCAGCCTTGTGCAGGTCTACAATTGTATCCCTGATGTCCTTACACAACTCTCTGGTCTTGGCCATTGTGGAGAGGTTGGAGTCTGTTTGATTGAGTGTGTGGACAGGTGTCTTTTATACAGGTAACGAATTCAAACAGGTGCAGTTAATACAGGTAATGAGTGGAGAACAGGAGGGCTTCTTAAAGAAAAACTAACATGTCTGTGAGAGCCGGAATTCTTACTGGTTGGTAGGTGATCAAATACTTATGTCATGCAATAAAATGCAAATTAATTACTTAAAAATCATACAATGTGATTTTCTGGATTTTTGTTTTAGATTCCGTCTCTCACAGTTGAAGTGTACCTATGATAAAAATTACAGATCTCTACATGCTTTGTAAGTAGGAAAACCTGCAAAATCGGCAGTGTATCAAATACTTGTTCTCCCCACTGTACATGCTTCAAGTGTGCAATTACAATCCTCAGTTGTGACACCTCTCCTCCTTCCCCCCTTGCCATCACAAAACGAACCCTTCCTGCCCCTCTCCTCTCCTCCTCTCTTCCCTCCTTTTCCCCCACACACCCCCACAACATGCCTCTACTTTGCGGTGACTCCTGTAGGACGACAAGTACTGGAGCCGGCGCTACAAGAACAACGAGGCGGCCAAACGCTCACGTGACGCCCGGCGCCTCAAGGAGAACCAGATCACGGTGCGTGCTGCCTTCCTGGAGCGAGAGAACGCTGCTCTCAGACAGGAAGTGGCCGACATGCGCAAGGAGCTGGGCCGCTGCCGCAACATCCTCAACAAGTTTGAGAGCCGACACGGAGACTTGTGAGGAAGAAGAAGAAGAGGAGGGAGGAGAGGGTTAGAAGGCAACCTCAACATTAGCAGCACTTTAGTTGAGGCGGTGCGCGTACGGCCTACGTAGACATGACGTAAACATTGTATGACACCTGGCGTATGCATCCATGTTGTGAGTAGCCTACAGTGTTGTAGTGAGTGCAGCCTCCATTTTGTGTATCTGTGCTATGCTGGTTTCACTTCCTGTGTCTCTTTGACAGGTTGTGTCACCTGGACGTCGTGACATCATTCAGCGTTTATATCAGGTGCATTGCAGTGTTTTTGCGGGTAATGCGCAGGCCATACGCGCACCAATTCAGATGGGTGTGTTCAAATCATACAGACAACTAATGTTTTTAAGCTAAAGACAAGGAGACAAGCCAGGGGAGAATAGTGTAATTATTTCTATGACAAAACATGTATATTTTTGAACTGTACTGGGCAGGGAGGGAGGCATGGGCGAACTAGAAAACAGAGAATGAGCTATAACTAGAAGAGGAGGAGTAGGAGAGGTGGGCAGGAGAGAAGAAAGCAAAGAGATTTCAACATAGGAAAACTGTATATTTTTATATTTGCAAAGACAGACAGTTCAGAGGAGATTTTGGAAATAATATTTTGTATATTTTATATATGGGTGAGTTTAGTAGAGAGATAGGGGCTATATGAAGATGTTTTAACAATAGGGTAGATGGATAAATGATATATTTTGAACTTAGAAGCTGTTAAGATAGAGGGGTTAGAGGTCTGGGGTCGTAATAGAGAATGTATAATGGTTGTATCCAGGGATAACATGGCGGCGAGAGAGGAGATGTATCTTAGTTAAAGATTGTGGACATAAACAGATAGAAGATTAAATAATCATTATATAGTTGTAATTTTGTTCTTGTGGGTTCGTTCAAGCACTTAAAGGGATGTTTTTTTGTTTTTTTTTACTTCCTATTCATCATCTCCAGCACCTCCCCAACATCAACAAATGTGAAAATGGTGCGTTTCTATGTTTTGTAGTAAAATAGATAGAGGAAGGTAAGTGTTTCCAATTAGATCATAAACCAGTTAGTGGACAATTAGTAGGCAATTAGTAGGCAATGCCTACTCATAATTGGTTAAAATCACACGATGCACACCGATGATGTCATTGGAGGAAACACTTATCTTAGAAACACGCAATTTTCACATATGTTGATGTTGAGGTGGTGCTGGAGATTATGAATATGAAGTTGAAAAAATTTGAAATTGTCCTTTAAAGGGCAATTCCACCACTTTTCATCCTCATAATCATCATCTCCAACACCAAACCAGTGTCTACATATGTGAAAACAATGCGTTTCTATGATCTGTGGTTAAAAAGATAAGAAGAAAGGTGCAACAAGTTTCTAGCCCAAGTGAGGGTATTTTCTTGCTCCCCATGTCACCGCGAATCTCAGTGTTTGAAAATCACTGTTTTTAAAATGTTTAAACTTTTGATGATGTCATCGGGTAGAACTTTTTAAATGTATATATCTTTTCTACAAAACGTAGAAATGTGCTGTTTTCACATACGTTGACCCTGGTATTGTGCTGGAGATAACAAAAATGAATTTGAAAAGTGGTGGAGTTGCCCTTTAATTTTTTATTAATTTTTTATTCCTTTATTGAATAAAATGTTTTTAATTGTGTGTCTGGCAGTTAGGGAGAGAGAGAGAGAGCGCGAGAGAGAGAAAATTAATTGAAATGCTACAGTCAGTGATCTCTCACGAGAACAGCTGCATCCACACAGATGTTTGTGAATAAATATTGCTCAAATGTGTTGCCAGGTATTCATGTAGATGGGTGAATATGTTTGGCTCAGACACAAACACAGACACACACACACCGCAAACAAACATGGCAAGCCACACAGTCTAATAAGCTGGATCAGTGACAACATATGCATTTTTACATTACACACACACACACACACACCTGCATGTACACACACACACACACACTCTTATTTGTCCCTGAAAGCAAGCTGGACCTTGAAACACAGGGCCGGTGTACGATAGCGCACAAGCAGTCAAGGCAAATAACACTTCATCACTTTCTACAGCATATGCCAGGAATCTGTCTCTCTCCCTCTCCTGATCCATTTTGAATTGTGAAACTGGTTTAGAATTGATTGCCCAGGTTAAGTTGGCAGTGTTCAGCATGAACCTGAGCATGCTGACACTTAACACACCCCAAGTTTGATTATTATGATGATGATGATTATTATCATTTTTGGTGCTCATCCTGTTCCTCCATCTGAACATACACAACTCAACACAGTAAATGAACTGTCTATACCCTTTTATTTATTTTTATTTGTTCTTTATTTTGCGTATTGTATTGTAAGAGGAAGTCTTATATAGATTGACGCACAAAAGAGTATGTCTATACCTCTCCTAAACAACTTTACCCAATGAAACAATGCACTTATGTACCATACACATGTACTATTAAATATTAAATACAAAAACTATTCTCTCACAAGATATGTGTGTATATGATATATGCTTGAACATGTGACTATAGATGTAATAATATACATAGCTTGAATATATAAATGTAGTATAAAATGATTGGAATCATTGTCAATTTCTCAGGCATTCTGGGGGATAAAAAATTATTACGATAAATCTTAATGTTGATTACAGAAGTTATGATTCTTTATTTTTTGTCCGGATACATTTCAGAGCTGGCCCATTTTGGCAGTACAATTAGGTAGAATTCGATGGAATTGTACTGCGTACTACCAACTCACCTTGGGAGGGAGATTCTAATAAAACCAGTTCTGGATTTTAAGGTCTTTGTTGATTTCAGACATAGCATTCAATGTTATTTTTTATTCTTCTTACTATTACAGTTATGATTGCTAGTATTATCATTGTTGTTGTTATTATTATTACTCTTATATTTATTTTCCTTGCTACAACTTTTAAGGGAGAATGTAGTTCTCATTTTATCTTCCTTGTATTTTTCAAGACCATCTTTACTCTACTTTATTTTCCATGAGCCTGTTCACTATTGGCACCATCCACTGAGACTGTACAAAGCTCCAGGTGCACTGTGGGGACTGTAGTCTTGTCCTTGTTTTGTAATTTAACAAAAGCTGAAACAACTACAAACTATGGACTTGAAACCCTGGAAGAATTTGAACTACATCTCCCAGCTTCTAACACCACCCATCTTTTGATGGACAAAGAAGCAACTTTTTGATACCTGGAACTTGTTTGCAGAAGCTTATAAACTTTTGACAGTGCTATTTTTCTATGTGTCTGTATATGCATACTGCAACTTTTTGTGGGCATTTGTAGCCCATCCTCACAGTGATGGTATGCTACTAAACGGCATTGCGGGTAATGTGCACAGCCTATTTTCCCTTCCCCATCTGGATTATAAACTACTCCCTGTTGTGACTGTTATAATTAAACTACAAGTCCCATGAGCACACCACTACCCAATTGCACCAGTAATGTCTACTGATCCTGCCTATAGGGATGCTGGGGAATGTGGTCTGGCTTTTCTGAAAACACCAATAAAGACTCATCCTTACTCACTGAGAAAGCTTGTATGTTGTCATAATTTTATATCTTCTCTCTGGGTGAAACTGAAGTGAATCGAACTCACACAGCATCAGAAAGTACAACGGAGCGCCAATGGGAGGCACTAAGGCCATTTAACATGGTGCTATTCTCGAGACCATATTAGACATCATAAAATGGTGGCCCATTGCTCCCAGTGCCACCTGTAACCAGTGGGCTGGTTCAGCTGTTCATCAACATAGATTGCGTCAAGAAGATCCCCGTAACTCCATCTGCCATCTGTCCAGTCAGTAGCAGCAGCAGCAGCATGGCACCGCCCAGGTGTTAAGTAACATGGGTTCAAATTATAGATCCACACGGACCACAGTATCCATTTCACCATTGAAAGTTTGATTGACTTTGATAGACTTTCGGGGCTCAACTTGATAAAAATATGTAAATCTCAATCTGATTTCCCAGGTGAAGTAAACGCTAAAAAATAAATAAGTAAATATTAGGTTGTACATAACCATTTTGTATGTTTGTAGTTTATTAAAGACTTTAGCGCAGGTTGATTTCACGTATGACAACAAAGAACCGTCCACAACTCCTGGATGACATTACATTACAATAATATGATGGCAATGCAGACAATGTTTGAGTATGCTTTGGGGCTAGAAAAACAGTCTAGACTAAGTCATTGATCTTGATCTAGCAGAGCATGTGTTACAGTATTAGATGGTGCATTGCAGGAATACCAAAATATGAGGCTGTTCGATAGGAGCAAAGCCAAAGGCAAGTTTATCACTCTTCATCAGAGCAGTGATCACGAGCAGTGATTAAGTGGTGGACACACTGCAAAACGTTCAATTATGATGGCCTCATAGTGTCCTTGACAACACTGCTGGAGGACAAATGTGTTTCCTTCCATTAGAGGAGGGAGCCGACTTTGGCTGTGTCCCATATGGCACCCTATTCACTTTTTAGTGCACTACTTTTGACCAGGGCTCACTACTTTTGAGCAGACGCTCTTATCCAGGGCTCTGGTCAAAGGTAGGGGACTATAAGGAGAATAGTGTGCCATTTAAGACGCATCCAGTGTTTTGACCACGGTATCAAGGCCTTGGCCTGCTACTGATTAAACCAGTATGGAGTGTTATTCTGATGTCATCACTGAGCTAGGGAAATACTGGAAGAAGAACAGTGCTGTGTGAAAGAAATAATAGAGGGTAGAGAACAGGAACATTATTTGAGGGAAATAATTGTACTTATTGTCTTACTGCAAGGAGGGATGAGTGGAAAGTGTGTGTGTGTGAGCCTTTGAGAAGACAATTAGTCTAATAGCTTACAAAGAGAGAATGCGCGTGTGGAAGTTGGTGTGCCTATGCAAGAGTTTGGGCCTGAGAGACAAAGAGTGCATGCTTGAGAGTGTGGCAGTGTAATGTCTCTACTTGTCTGAATGTCCGTCTCCGTG